TATCACCAAATCTCGCTGTAAATATTTAACAGTTGCAACTGCAAAGTTTTAAAACTTTATTTCTGTGACCTGAATTCCTATATTTTTTCGTTGAGGCAAGCTGTATGTAGAACTGTCCATTTCTCATTACAGCCTATGTTTTTTTATAGTCTATATATATATGTCTATGTCAGTAGAAGACCCAAGTTCGATTCCCGAGTAGGGAGTATCTTATCAAGTGTCGGCCTTTCTCTGAGGACGTTCTTTCCCTCTCGCCAGCTTGAGTTGACCCTGCCAGGCAGAGTCGAAGCCCACCTTCTGCGTGATTTAGATTGGTGTTGATGATGTTATAAAAATTATATTATAGGCTACATTTTTTTGGTCTTTTGTTTAAGATGAGAGGGGGGAATATTACTAAGTTAGCAAGGAAGACAGATTCACTAAATTGCATCCAACTGGGCCGTTCAGTTGTCATTTAGCTTTTTAAAAAAAAACAGCACACAAGAAACAAAGCTAACAATTATCCAACCTGTATCTTAGAGAGAGAAAAAGAGAGAACGAAAGGGAATGTGTGATTGTGGGAGGGGGGTGGAGGGACGAGAGAGAGAGAGAGAGAGAGAGAGAGAGAGAGAGAGAGAGAGAGAGAGAGAGACAGACAGACAGACAGACAGACAGACAGACAGACAGGCAGACAGAGAGAGAGAGAGAGAAGAGAGAGAGAGAGAGAGAGAGAGAGAGAGAGAGAGAGGGAGAGAGAGAGAGAGAGAGGGAGAGAGAGAGGGGGGGGATGGGGGAGGTTAAAGTCGGATTCTGTTTATCCACCCTGATCTATTTTGGGAGGAAGGAAGGAGCCAAGCAACCCGTGCCAAATGTCATTATAGAGCTCATTTATTTATATTAAATCTATATTACAATTAAATTATAATTTTCCGAACATGGTTGTAAAACCTGTTTTTAAAGAATCCGACGTCTTTCTTCAGATATATACCCTTAACGTTACACAGTTTGAGAAGAATATCTAAGAGACTTTTCTACACCCCCTCCCCTATCGAAAAGAAACAAAAAAAACAAATAAACAAAAAACGAATGGACAAAAAAAACAAAACAGGCATAAAACAAACTCCACGAAAACAGCAAAAACAATTTTAAAACACAAATTCATCAACATGCATCTACCGTTATCACTACCACCATGAACGCGTATTTGATTATAAAACTTACTATGGTGAAACAGTAAAAGTTGTGTTGGTGTTGTTGGTGTTTGTTGGGGTTTTTTGGTGTTTTTTGGGGAGGGGGGGTTGTGAGGGAAGGGGGGGGGGGCGTTTGTTTGGGATTGTAGTTGGTTTGGGGGGGGGGGGGGGTTGGGGGGAGAAGACAAAAATTATGCCCCTCTCACATAGCGCTAAGAGCTATACCCCACCAATGGGCTGAATAACTTTCATGAACAAAACAATATCTTCATGGGAGGACATAACAATTAGTGATATCGGGGCTTACTTTCTGTGAGTCCTAACCTCCTCCGTTCCTCTTTTTCGAGTGAAAAAAGTGCAAAATGTCACAACCTTCACACCTTTTGCAATGCTGTAAAAATGTTTAAGAATCGAGACTCCCGAATGTAACGCCCATCTCCGATAGGACCGTGCCAACCGGAAAATTTCTGCACAAGAATGAAACGTCAGAGAGAGCTAAGGCTCTAACCCCCTGACCCTTCCTCTCTTATTCTTCTTAAGCCTAACAAACGTGACATTGAAAAAAACATTTTCGTAGCATTCGAGACGTTAACTTCGGCCTATTCGTAAGAGAATAATATGTTTATACTGAAAGTCTGCTTTCTCTTTTTGACAGAATCTTACGGAAACAAAGCTGCACGCATTGAATCACACGAAGGTACTCAATCATGCAAAACCTGAACCTACCATTTATTATTTCATACTAACGATAGGCATCCTGCTATTGTATTCCAATCATGAGTTTTCATTCTAACCTGGATTTTGCTTTTTAAGAGAAGAGAAGAAAAAAACCGTGTTCAAGCAGTTTTCGATCTTTGAATCTTATGCGCCTTTTTTCTATGTTTCGCATCCCCAATACGCACAAAAAATAATGTCCTACCTGGCGTCACCAAGGAAAGACGTGAACGTGTGACTCGACTTTTAAGTTGTGTACTCGCCCTAATTCAAAGGAATCACCGGCTTCTGAAGTGGCAACGTTTAGATTCTTAAACGTTAAGAAACTAACTTTCCAACCTTTGTCTGTCTGTCTGTCTGTCTGTCTGTCTGTCTGTCTGTCTGTCTGCCTGTCTCTCTCTCTCTCTCTCTCTTTCTCTCTCTCTCTCTCTCTCTCTCTCTCTCTCTCTCTCTCTCTCTCTCTTTCTGCCTGTTTCTTTCTCTCTTTCCTATCTCTCTTCCCGTCTCTGTCTCTCCGGGTTGGTACATGTGCTATTTTTACTTCTTTTTTTTACACAAGATCCTCTCAACGGACTCAACAAAAACACTAATTACACCCCTCCTCCATCTCTCTATTT